GCAAATGCTCGACATGTCTATCGGCGGGCGGTATTAGACAACAATTTTCAAACGCCGAGAATATTCTGCTATCGCTTCACAGCTCAAAATTCTTGCAAAATATTGGTCAACATCTCGGAATCGATGGCCAGAGTGCGCCCGATATTAACCTCAAACTCAACGGATACCTACTGTTGACCAAAGAGTACGGAGCCGAGCAACTGATCCAAAATCAACGATTACAGACAGAATTGGGCGCTCAGATAGAGCTATTATCTCCGGCCAAAGTTAACTCGATGTTTCCCTGGGTTAACACTGATGAGATAGTGTTGGCCGCGTATGGGGTGCGCAACGAGGGATGGTTTGATCCCTGGGCTCTACTCATGGCATTTAAAGCAAAAGCTCAATCACTCGGAGCTAATTATATGAACGGAGAAGTAATCGGATTTAATTTGAAAAATACGGCCCAAAGAGATAGTGACGGCCATAACATCCAGACGTGTAATGAAGCCATCATTAGACAGTCGGACGGAACCGTCAAAACGCTGGCCTTTGGCACCGGTATTGTCTGTTGCGGCGCTTTTTCCGGTGCTGTCGCTAAATCTCTGGGCTATGGATCATATCGATCGGGTGTCCGATCAGTTGCTTTGCCAATTGAGCCCCGGTATGACCCGTTTGATTATAACATGAGACCTAATAATTCAAATATAATTTGCTTTAAAACTTTAGGAAACGATATGTTTTTGTATTTCAATGCAATGATGGGCCCGACCCGACCCGGTGTCCGTTGGTCTTTGACACGTCTTCAATCTACTTCCGACCCGAGGGAAAGGGAGGCAACTATTTGTCCAGTTTATGTCCAATAGAGGTATCTTTCATACAAATCATTTGTTGCATACTTTTTATACTTTTAAATTACAATAAAATTAATTGAATTGAAGGCCGAAGAGCCGAGTGTTGATAACTTAGATGTCGACTATTCATTCTTCGAGAACACAGTTTGGCCACAATTAGCCCATAGAGTGAAAGCGTTTGAATCGATAAAATTGAAGACAAGTTGGGCCGGACTTTACGACTATAACACTATGGATCAAAACGCGTCAAATCAATGGTTTTATATTTG